TACACAAGATGCTAACGGTGCAGTAGACTAATGCTACTGCGCATTAGTGTGGCACAAAAAAAAAACAAGCTAATGCACTAATGTGCAGTATAAGTCTACTGCACATTAGTGTCACTTAAAAGCATGCCCTGGCACTAATATGCAGTAGTGCTAATTATGACATTTATTTTAGTACAGGTATTAAATGAAATGCGCCGTAATTACAGTGCATTAATGTAGGCATCGACATGCCTATTGTCAGACACTTACCATAGCTAATTAGTTCTCACAGCAGCAATCAGAAATGGGTAACTTTTTATTTTAGACATTTAACAAGTCACTGTTCAAAATCATTAAGCACCCCGACCAGAACACAACTTTGGCAAAAGCCATGTTACAAACAGGACTGCAAATTCTTTAGCTTATATATGGAGCCTAAAAGTAAATATCTTATATGGCTCTAGGTACATATTTCTTAATACAAATTTAGTGTTATTCAATTTTAGAATCATGTCACTGTTAAACTATTTCCTTTATCTTTTTTGTGTGCATTTAAAAGGTTCTTGAAATCAGAAATTATGCTGAAGCATGAAAACATCTGCTCTTCCATATTCATAACATATACAGACTCTAGGTATTTTTTCATGACCTTTGAGATTTACAAATTGGGTATATTTCAATCAAATTTTCTGGGTACCCTACATTCCAGTTTATCTAAGTCAATCTTAGCACAGTAAACTAAGACTAGTCTAGTACTGACAAAGCATTCCCAACAGTGCCTAAAAACTATGATGGAAATAAACTATGATCCTTTCCTTTTCAGAAACAGTTCTTCCATCAAGGAGCTTACAGTCTAATAGCAAAATAGATGGAGAGAAAAATACTATAATTTGTGATTATTATACTGTCCTTACTGCCAAACTCCTGCATTCAAAAATATGAATTTCATCCAAGAGAGACCATCATGAGATTGGCTAAAATATAAGTGTACCCCCTGCCCCCAACACACACATTTAGGGTTCTTTTAGACTTCTGTTTTTAAGACTTTTAGGTAATTTTTGCTTCAGGATCACAAGCTTTTTGTACAAGCAAATGTACTTTTTGTGAGAACTTTTGTTTTCATTGAAGTCACTTGATTCCAGCAGCTGAGACTCTAAGGAAAAACATCAAATAGTGGAAGATTAGTGATAAATATCCTAGGAGCTGGCCACACTATCACATAGCTTGTTTTACTCTTGGCTATCTCTGATAGGCCATCATGTTACAACAGCCTCGTGCAATTTCCCATATACCACCCTCTTTCTGAGGAGTATAGAGACCATGGAGACCAGATATACCAGGCAAAGATTATGTTAACACATTTCTGGGTGCTGAATGGAAGACATTGTGAATATTCTTCCTTTAGAGAAATATAGCAGTGTTCCCACACTGCTGATGCTGAGAGAGAAGATAAGCTGCAGAAGCAAGGTCTTGGAAGTAAAAGGTGAGCTGCTTCCTCTATTTCTCAAATGGGACAAAGGGTATGTCCTTTCGGGCAGAAAGTTGATTTCATGAGAAACTCTCCTTTCCACCTTGAGAAATGTAAAACGTAAAATCCTTACGTTAATATCCACAATGCCTGTGAATTCCCCAGATACTTAAGTAAAGGCAGTGCTGAAGGCTATAATAAAAGAACAATGTCACAACTGCAATTCAGGCCACACTACCAACCCACATCAGGTCCTTGGAGAGCTTCAGTCAGCAATGTAAGACTAATCTTGGGAACAATGTTCATGGCACAGAACAGGGCTGTCCAACTGGTGACTCACAGACTATATATGGCCCATGAGGGGTCATTTGTGGCTCTTCAGGCTCTTACCCAGCTCCCTGTATCTGCTGCAGCTGGAGTCTCCAGGCTCTCTTTTCCTCCTATGGCTTTCACTTCATGCTCCTGCCCTATGGGGCAGCATGGCACAGCTTGTGGTGCCTGCACACATGGTGAAGCAGGGGGGCAACCACAATGCAGTGGGGGAATGCCTGTGCGTTATAATGATGCATCCTACATGGTGTGCAGATCCTGGCTTCTTAGAAGTTGGATAGCAACATCATAGGGCATCCAACAACAAAGCACCATTTAGAGCCAAGTCATCACACATGGAAACTATGAGCCATAGAAGCCTTCACTGGCTTGGGCACACTTACCGCACTGACTAATAACAGGCCTCCAAAAGAGTTGCTGTTTGAGCAACAGAATGAAGGTGCAGGTCCTGTTGACAGAGCACAGCAGAGGTAGAAAGACTAACTTAAGGGAAGTCTATACACTTGAAAGTTGGCAGGCACCAGCACTGAATTACAGCATCTGCCATGCAGTGTTTGGACAAAAAGAGCAGGCAACTGAGAGCTTCTTGAGGCACCTGCTAAAAAGACCAAGACATTGATGCTAGCAGTGTCCTCACTGTCATGACAAGGACTACATCAGTTAGTTTTAAAAGGCAAAAATCTATATCCTTACTTTCCATCCAGACCACCTTTAAAAAGTTCAATACATTTGTTTTCTTTTCCTTAGTTAATTCTAACAGAAACTTTCTGCCAAAATGTTCTCCAATACATTAATTGAATTGTGCAAGAACACCTTGAGCAGTCACCAGACTTTAGAAAAACAAAATCCCATGACAGTTGCTGTTGCTTTGGCAAGCATGACAATTTTCTGAAGCCCTTTAAAATGTTTTTTTCTGTACAATATTTTAAGTTCACAATTTTCATGTCATGGCAGCCTTGGTTTGGTAACAACAATCAAAACAATTCTTTGTTGAGTCTTGTCCTCATTTTTTCTATAATCCTTCATAGCCTGCAGTTTCATAACACTTCAAGGCATGGACATACAAGCAAATTACTGTAAGGTAAACTGGAGTGTGAACTTATTGTGAGACAAGAGCATGCACATGAGCTGTTACCATGATAGCTGACATACTAAATTCACACCGTGCCGCACCCTGCAGTAATTTGTTTCCATGCCAATATCCTACTGCCATCCTTCTAGAAACCTACAACAGTACTGTTTATAGTCCGTTCAAATATGATACCTTTGCTGTTCAGTCAGGAGAGGCCAGATAACATCTGTTGGTCATTCAAGAGGCCAAGGACAGACTTAGATGGGATTACTCACTTTAACTTTTCCTCCACTCATTTGCCCAGTTCCTTCCTGTATTTTATGTCCTAACAGCTTCCCATTTCTGCCTTTTCCTGTAAGTACTGCCAGCACCTGTTGCATAATTTGGATTCCCATCTTGCACTGCCCAAGGGGTATCCAGTGTGCTGTAATCACCTAGTCAGGCACACAGAGGGAAACAGGCTTTGCAGAACAGGAGACAAAGATAATAATGGGAGGTGTGGTGGGGCAAAGGTGCCTTGCATTCCCATCAGATGTATCCACAGATGGTATCATTATGTTCCTCATCAGTTAAAAATAACTTCCCAGTCACAGGTTAAGATATTTTACAATGCGTATGTGAACATTTTTGAGACCTCTCTTCCCCAAGCAAAATTTATTCTCAAAACGTATGTAGTACAACTACCTACTTTGGATTATATGCCCAGTGATATGCTGGGTCTTCAAAATTGGTAAATCAAAACAAAAACAAATTATGAAAACTTTAGGGTTCAAAAGCAGAGACAAGTGGTGTAGACTGGCAGACCTATACAGAAATGCAGTACAAAATCATGAAAGCCTCCAACCTTAAGTTCATAAAATGCAAAACACTGCAAACTGATAAAGGGGCATGTGTGTACATCCATGCATTTGTATACTACTGTCCCCTACAGAATGGCTGCCACAGTACTTAATTGTTACAAGCCTTATACTACTATGTTCTCATGTAGCTCAACTTCCAAGTTTTACTCTTACAGTTACCAGAGGTTTCAAGAGATCCCACTGTGCAAAGTAGCACAACCTCAGACTCACTTGGCCATGGACGTAAAGAGCAAGGTTGGATGTGTTTCCATTATTTCTGAAAGAGGCTTTTTTTACAACTGAATTTTCTAAAACAAATATCCTATCTGCCCATACATATCAGCTTAGTTTTTAAAAAGTGTGCTCAATAGGAAATATCCAACTCATCCTGGTATAGTTCTGCCATCTTCTACAATGATAAATTGAGCCCTGTATTCCTTATGCCTAACTAGGGGATCCTAATACCTTGCCATTGCCTTTCCAGTTCTGTCCTGAGGGCTATGCTTAGACTAAGTTCCAACTGTTTTACCTCCAGGTCTTCCAGAGAGTGCGGTATAAAACTGCAACATATCATGCATTAGCAGGGTGCAACACAAACAGGTCTAAGGAGGTAATACTTCCCCTCTACGTGGCACTGGTAGGGCCGCAGCTGGAGCACTGTGCCCAGTTTGGGGCACTGCACTTCAAGAAGGATGTAGATAACCTTGAGAGGGTCCAGAGGAGGGCTACTCGTATGGTTAGGGGCCTGCAGGTAAGGCCCTATGAGGAGAGATCGATGGACCTGGATCTCTTCAGCCTCTGCAAGAGAAGACTGAGAGGTGATCTTATGGCCATCTACAAATTCATCAGGGGGGTGGAGGGAGCAACAAGGAATAGGAGATACTCTGTTTATCAGGGCACCCCTTGGGGTAACTAGAAACAACAGCCACAAACTGACAAAGAGCAGATACAGATTGGACATCAGGAAGAACTTCTTCCCGGTAAGGGTTACCAGAATCTGGAATGGACTTCCAAGGGAGGTGGTGCTCCCCGCTACCCTGGAGGTCTTTAAGAGGAGACTGGAAAAGCACCTGGCTTATTATTCAATATTTTTTTTACTTCTGTACCTACGTTTTAATGTTAATTCC